ATTAGGTCAGAGGAAATAGCTTATAAAGGATCTAAAAGTGTGGCAAGCTGGCTATTCAGGAGCAATTTAGAAACCAAAGGAACACCAAGAACCGATAGAGGGAAAAAACAAATATAGGCTAGAGAGGAACATAAAGGGGGTCTATAAAAGGTTATTCAGGTAAAAAGGGATAGATGACCTAGGACAAACCTGAGCCATGACAAAGGGAGAGAATAATTTATAACAGCGAATAGGGAATGGGAGGAAAAATTTAAATTACTTTGTCCTAAAAGAAAAAATATAAAACCTCCCAGAAATACCAAGCAACCAAAGAACATATGACGCTGTGGAGCTAACAAAGAATCAGTATTAGTCAAGAGTCAGTACTTGTAAAAAGAAAGTTAACTGGATTGATAAATCCCTTGGACCAGATAAGCTAAATCCAAGACTGTCAAAGGAAGCATCTCTAGAAATAATGTGACTATCTTTCAAAATCAAGCTCTAGAAGTGATCCTGCAGTCTGGAAAATAGCAAACAAGTCCAACATTTAAAATGATGGGACTAAGAGGGAGCTTTACAGAGCTCTTAAGTCAGCAGAGTAGTAGGGAAAACATGAGAATCTATAATAAAGGACGTGATAGTCGGATATTTAGAAAATAATGGTAAAATTAGACAGTCAAGATGTATTTATGAAGAACGAGAAAATCATGGCTGCCAAAACTATTGCAAGTTTCTTTTTTAAAGAACACTACCTGTAACATGGATAAGGGAGAACTAGTACATTGCTAAAATTTGATTTTCAGAATGCTCTAGACAAGGTTCCACAAAAGGAGGTTAGTAAACAAAATTAGAATACATGGGATTGGAAGGTTGGGGTAATGCATTGAGAATCAATTAAGAGACAAAAATAAATAGGTCATTTTCATGATGGCAGACTTATCAGTTTGGTACCATAAGAATCAATACTAGAGCAACAGCTCAAATGATTTGGATGTTGGGCAAGTGTAATATTTCCAAATTTGCTGACAACACAAAACTAGGTGGGGATGCAAGTTGCAAGTAAGATTCAAGGAAGCTTCAACTGAACTCAAACAGACTAAGATTGAGCAAAAGACAGATGGGATACAATACGAATGTGATATTCTCCACTTTGTTAGAAAAACCAAAGGCAGAATACCCTTTAAATGGCAAGAGATTGTGAAGTATTGGTGATCCAGAGAGACCTGGAGTGTTCACAAAAATCTGGCATGCAGGTGCACTGATCAATTGAGTACAGGAGTAAAGATGTCTTGTTGAAATTGTATAAAGCCTTAGTGAGGCTGCATCTGCAGTAATCAATTTTGTTGCCCTTAAAAGAATACATTTACCATTGAGGGAGTGGAACAGGAGATTCAACCAATTAATCCTTAAAGTAGCAGGATTACTTAATGATAATAGGTTGAGGAAACAGCATCTGTAGTCACTAGAGTTTAGAAGAAAGTCATGTAATTGCACAGAAACAAATTCTTAAAAAAGGTGTCCAGGATGTACATAGATTGAACACATCCACTGGCTGGTGAGTCTAAATGAGGAACCATAATCTCAGTCAGGGGTAAGCCATTTAAGTCAGATGAGGGAGAATTTCTTCAGAGGATGGTGAATCTTTAGGATGCTCAACCCCAGAGGGCTGTAGATGCTGAATTACAAGGCAGGCTGAAGAAAGAATCGAACAGGTTGGTTGGCCTACTCCTGTTCCTGAAAAAGGATATTGTACAGTAAACATTTTAACTTCATTAATGACACATCATT